CGTCCTTCCAACCAGTCGCAATGGCATAAGAATAACCACGCCAATACTTTCAATTTATATATGAACATATCTCGGCGTGACTCGCCTGCAAAGAACTCCGAAATAGGTACAGGAAACGCTTAACGATATCGACCATTGTGTGCCCTTCGCATGCTTATTGAGTCTTGAAAAGGAGGATGGCGCAGTGACCGAGGTAGAAGTAGATGAAATGTTTCGTCTCTGTGATCCAAATCAGTCCATATCCTCAAGGAGCTTTCAGCTGTACCCACCGTGTGTCACGAAGCTGCCAAAGTTTCTTCCCACCACGCAGTGCCATGTCGCACCCTTGCGCGAGTCGAACTGCTAAGGTGTAAGCGGAATGCTGGAATTCGAGTAACGGAGCGGCGGCTGACCTCTCTCTTGATGTACTGGGCAATATCCTGCGACTGTCAGTAAGGTCTCTAAGTGACTTGCGATCGTAGAAACCTACCTTCTCAATGTGGTACTTGTCCATCGCCTCGATCGCTAAACAGCCCGCATTAGTTGGGATCAAGATCAGCCCCGCAGTCATACATACCAACTTCAACAGCCTCCTGCTGCATGTCCTCCGTCTGGTACCTCGTCAGTGTTTTTCCAAGCTCCTTTAGCTCTCGTTCTCCTTACCATATCGACGGACTTGATCTGCGCTAAACAAGCCCGTTAGCTCTCGTCTCCATCACGCCGCGGGTTGACTCACGCTCAAGCTTGTCCTTCTTTTCGGAAGCCATCTTGTTGGTGATTTATCCTTGATCACAAGTTTCAGAATGGAGAGAAAGACCCAGAGATCGAATGAATAGTCAAAATTCGTTTGCGCAGAAAGTACCAATGAAGCCCAACCAGGAGTATTGGGAATCAACAATTCCAGGTTGCGCGCCGCAATGATCCAAAGCCGATGGGGCTCGGGTCTTGCCGCCCCTCACACCGCCTTCGGCACTATAAGGATGCCGAAAATAAAAAAGCACCCTCCCAAAATTTTTTTTCTGTTTCTCGGATTTCACTTTTCCACATCCCGATTCCTGTGGCACGCACACTTTTCGAGAGAGTAGGCCACAGGGACCTGAAGCAAACCACTACTCAATCATGGAAAGCACCAGAGTTTTTGTCTCTGGCCTCCCGCCAACTTTCTCTGATGATCAATTGAGAAAGCATTTCGCTAGTCGCTTCCAGGTCACGGACGCTCATGTATTGCCCAAGCGCAGGATCGGCTTCGTGGGCTTCAAGAGCCATGAGGTTGCCCAACAGGCCGTGTCTTATTTCAATAAGACATACATGAAGATGTCCAAGATCTCTGTAGACATTGCTAAGCCGGTATGTGTTTCACCTGTTGATCTCGTTGCACTTATCCTTTTCCTTCCTTCTTCCTTTTTTTTTTGTCTTACCCGCTGACGATTAAGGTGGTCTTGTGACTGACCAGTACTTTGTAGATTGATGCCGAACCTACCCCCAGAGCCCGCAAGTCTGGCAACGCCCAGGATCATGACGATGCGGGAAGTTCGCTCAAGCGTAAGCGCGATGGCGACAAGACCGAGGATCCCAAGCTGCAGGAGTACCTTTCCGTAATGCAGCACTCGTCTAAGACTAAGACGTGGGCCAACGACGACGCCATGCCTAAAGCCCCAGAGACAAACTCACCTGCAGAACAGCCCGTTGAAGACGAAGAAGAGGAGCCGCAGGAGCTCACTTATGCCCAAAGGAAGAAGGCCAAGCTTGGCGACGTCCCGGCTAATCCTAGAGAAGTGCATAAAGCGGACCAACAAGCTGAAGCAGAACCAGAGCCCATGGTCGTCGATCATAGTGGCGAGGGTGATGCCGAGCCGTCGGCGGATCAGGATGATGCTGTCGCCCCCGAGGAAGAAAAGGCGCCTGTCTCGGATGCGGACTGGCTTCGCTCCAAGACGAGTCGTCTCCTTGGCCTCCTCGACGAGGATGAGCAAGCAGAGTTTGACTCTCCCGCACAGCAAAAGCCTGCTGCTTCTCCCGAGGCAGAGTCGAGGATGGAAGTTGACGCCGAACCTGCTCAGGATGTCGCCACCACCGAAGAACCTTCCGCTGGTAAAATAGCAAAGGAGCCGGAGGTCGACACCAACATCGAGAACATTCGCATCTCAGCACGTCTCTTCGTCCGCAATCTGGCTTATGACACGTCTGATTCGGACCTTCATCCTATCTTTGCTCCTTTCGGCCAAATCGAAGAGGTTAGTTACTTGGTTTTGATCGCGTTACACGTTGCATTGTCACCCCTCCCCCCAAGCTCAATGATGAACGACCTGATAGGGACATCCGATGCAAAGCAGATGATGTTGCCAGGAAACGAGTATTTTAGTAGATGCCTCGCATATCTGAAAGAGCTATACCCTCTCATGTTTTTATTCCACTCATCGTTTGGTCGGTTGATGCTAACATGACTAGATCCACGTTGCTGTTGATACTCGGTCAAACACCAGCAAGGGTTTTGCCTACATCCAGTATGTCAATGCTGATGCTGCCGTAGAGGCCTACAAACAGCTGGATGGCAAGCACTTCCAAGGCCGTTTGATGCATATCTTACCGGCTGCTGCCAAGAAGACGTATAAGATTGACGAGGCCGAGCTGGCGAAGCTGCCACTGAAGAAGCAGATGCAAATCAAGAAGAAGATGGGGGCGGCATCTTCATCTTTTAGCTGGAACTCGCTTTACATGAACGTGAGTTATCTCGTTGCAATCTTGAATGCCCCAATGCTAACTCAACCAGGCCGACGCTGTCATGTCGTCAGTAGCTGAACGTCTTGGTGTGTCGAAAGCAGATTTGCTTAACCCCACTTCGTCTGATGCAGCAGTGAAGCAAGCGCACGCTGAGACGCACGTAATTCAGGAGACGAAAGCCTACTTCTCAGCCAACGGCGTCAATATCGAGGCCTTTAAGCAACGGGAACGTGGAAACACGGCTATCCTAGTAAAGAACTTCTCATATGGCGTCAAGACCGATGACATTAGGAAACTATTTGATCCGTATGGACAAATCACCAGGCTACTGATGCCGCCCAGCGGTACCATAGCAATCGTCGAGTTTTCGCGCCCCGACGAGGCCCAGAAAGCCTTCAAGAGTCTTGCGTACCGCAAACTAGGGGACTCGATCCTGTTCCTAGAGAAGGCTCCCAAGGATCTATTTGATCCCAACGTTGTGCCGCAGAAGCCAACCACCGAGATTAAGGCTGTCTCGCAGGGATTCTCAACGGCTGACACGTTTGCGGCAGATGAGGTTGTCGATGACAACCTGCCCACAACCACTCTATTTGTAAAGAACCTCAACTTCGCTACCACCAATCAGAGCTTTGTGGACCTCTTTCGACCACTGGATGGCTTTATCACCGCTAGGATCAAGACCAAGCCCGACCCCAAACGCCCTGGGCAGACTCTCAGCATGGGCTTTGGCTTTGTGGAGTTCCGCACCAAGGCTCAGGCCCAGGCTGCTCTAGGCGCGATGAACGGCTACAAGCTTGATCAGCATGAATTGGTGGTTAGGGTGTCTCACCGCGGAATGGATGCTGCGGAGGAGCGGAGACGGGAGGACACCGCGAAGAAGGTGGCCGCCAGACGGACGAAGATCATCATTAAGAACTTGCCGTTCCAGGCCACCAAGAAGGACATCCGGTCGCTCTTTGGCGCGTATGGCCAGCTTCGCTCTGTGCGGGTGCCTCAGAAGTTTGACAGGACGGCCCGTGGTTTCGGTTTTGCTGACTTTGTAAGCGCTCGTGAAGCGGAGAATGCCATGGACGCCCTTAAGAACACGCACTTGCTGGGCAGGAAGCTGGTGCTGGAATTCGCGAACGAGGAGGCGATCGATGCTGAGGAAGAGATCAAGCAGATCGAAAAGAAAGTAGGAGAGCAGATGGACAGGGTGAAGCTACAAAAACTTAGTGGTCCTGGGCGCAAGAAGTTCACTGTAGGGGCCCAGGACGAGGAGTAAAGAGTGCCCTCTCTACCCTTGGTTCCTTTGACTTCCTTCCTCCCTGTTGATAGGGGACAGACAATGGCAATGGTGCACTGATGGTGATGATATCCCTTGCGTCCGGGACGCTGAGTTTGGAGGGCGGAAGTAGGCTCTCACGTTCGCCTGCGGCTGTCAACACGTACATACGCGTTCTGCAGAGCGAGCGGATGCTCGTGCCTGTTCTCACGAGAGTTTCGTCCTGTCATCCCAGTAAGGTCCTTCTCCCGAGTCTCCGTGCTATTCAGGGCTCACTACTTCCCTTAATCCCTTATACCTACCTACCTACCTACCAATTCATACCTTCAATCAATGCGAAACCCTTGGTTATGGACGTGCAAATTAAGCTGGAGCTAGGGTTCTCACCAACATTCCGACCTGATCTTCGTAATTACCTCGTTACATTCCACACCTACGGTTGGAGACGACGTCGTTGGCTCACGCTCATTCCAAAGCCGGCTCTTTGCCACAACTCGTCCAGTTTGGATGCTGTGTACCTGCTTTTCAGGTAACGATGTCCATCTCACGCTGCGAAAACCTCCGAGTTGCACCTCACTGGAGCGTGCACCTTGAGGGACCCCCTTGCATCAGTCTCCGGCTCGTGCCAATCGTGGGCTTCCTTCCCTCCTGATTTGCTCCCCAGTGGTTTCCTGGGCTCAGCACTCAGTCTGGACGCGTGAAGCCTGGAAGGAGATTCCCTGTTGTCCCCCGCCTTGGACAATCGAGGTTCGTTGCCCTAGAGGGGTGGTTCATCAACAAGCAGTGGGATCGAGCAATGTCACTGGGCCTCCCTCTCCAGGGGAGAGAATGGTTCCCTATAAACACCATGCTGCTCGCTCCCACATTCTCTCTCGTAGGGTTCTTACATTCTCTCCAAGCATTTGCGTTCTTGATCGCTGGGTTGGTGACTGCTACGTTCTTTGCCAGGCAGTAGTAAGCATTTCGCGGTCCTCGTCCCCCATCTCTTTGGAATTCGTCGCCATTCTTTCCAAGAGCCTACACTCTGGTCCGCCCCATGGCTACTGACTGGCAAACGGAGTGTATTCTGCCTCAACATCAACCCACTCTGGACAGTATCGGAGTTCATACGGACAGAGCCTTGCAGAACACCTCGGGGAACGTTCAGACGTACTCGGACAGCCTCGCACACAGTGGGATCACGGGGCGGGACGAGCATCTGCATCATCTAGCCTACAAGTACCCTCAACCTCCTGTGCCAACACATCCAGTGCCAACTGTCTCTAGCCTTGGGCCTCCTCAGAGCCTACGATTCCAGGCAAAGAAGCTGCGGCGTCTGCAGTCTGTTGGTCCGAACCTCGTGGGACCGCGTCGACCAAGAAGCTACCTCAGGTCGCAGAAGTATCTCGAGTATCGAGCCCGACCTCGCCGCGACACTGGCAAAGATGGGGAACCGGTATGGTCGGACGAACTTGAAGACGCGTTTCAACAAGGTGAGCAGCTTCGAGGATGATAGTGTAACAGCACCCAAGTAACCCGTTCAACAGCTCTCGAAGCGAATCCGCCGATGGGCCGACGGAAATGGTCGGAACGAGGAAAGTCCTATGGTCGAAATGAGCTTATTGCTGAATACATCTACAAGAAAACTGGTAAACGACGAACCAGAAAGCAAGTGTCCAGCCATCTGCAAGTCCTCGACTCATTCCTCAAAGGAGACCCGGACTGTAAGTTTCATCTGGCGTGAAGAAGGGCAAATGCAACGGGACTGACGCAGAGCAGGGGAGCGACTCGTACGAGAAGAGGCGGCCGTCCGCTCGAACAGCCAACATCCGCCCAGTGGTCCAAAATGGAGGGCTTCCTTGGACCCTCCCCTGTCAAGTCATTATGGCAATCACTTCCACACCCCCCATTATGATCATTTGAGGTTGGGGCATGCTTATGCTGGCGATATCCCCTCGGCGCACATCTCCCTTAATTCCAGCCTCCACGACGGCAACATCAACACTGTACAGGGGCTTGGGTTTGATATGTGGGTCAGCGCTCCAGACAAGCCGAACCGAATCGACGACGCCATCCACATCTACAGCCGGCTCCAGGGAGACCAGCGCCATCCTGTTGCACCGCCGATGCCCTTGAAAGACCTGCCAGGGTGGCAGGCATCCTTTCCTGATTTGAATTTATTGATTGCAGATCCCAGTACCCCCCTTGATTGCGAGATTATTCTACTTGAAGCCAACCTGAAGTTGATGGATAACTTTCCTCCCACGGGCTCGAGATTGGGGATTCACCTGGAACTCGACTTTGCCCAGGCAACGGCCGGCGATGTGCCGATGGTTCACCAGATGAGCAACTGGACTTGTAAGACAACCATGTATGACAATGGCCGCAATGTCCATGAAGAGTGTCACAGTGTTGCCCAACCGGGGTCGACCAAGGTCAAGCCACTGTTTGAATCCCGATGGTGGGCCAACTGCTTCACGCAGCTCACGCAAGACCAGAAGATGGTCGAGGAAAGAGGTCCACATCACGTTTCGCACGAAGTTGGGAGACAATACCTTCGCACCTTGACGGTAGTCCAGGAGATCCGGGCAGTCGCGCCTTATAATGTGCGACGGATGTCCACCAACTCGTACTCGGGCCATGGGGTGAACGAACCGAAGCGGGTTGCGATTCTGCTCTGGAAGTTTCGGCAGACGAGGCCCAACGAGGTCGGCACCACCACTTGGCGTCGGATCATTCCTCCCCCAGAGCGGACTTCGCATGCGAGTCCCAAAGCCCCGACTGGACTAGACCTTCCTCCCATCCCACTGGACTCCCTCCTGATGAACCGCCCCGGCCCCAGTGCGTACCACCCGGCTCAGTCCCATGAACTACTGCACACCACCACTACCTCGCAACCGCACTGGCCTCTGTACCAACAGCCCCAGGACAGTGTTGCCAACATGTTCAATTCCAATGGACCCTTCGACTTCCTCGGACACATCAAGGCCGAAGATCGGTTGGGTGACAAGACATCGGTGACGTCGGTGCTGGACTCCTTCTCCCATCTCCAACCGCACGAGACCAGCCAGCCCACGAGCCTCAGCGGTTCCACTGGCGGGCCTGTCATGATGAGTGTGCCGGATCTCTCCCTGTCGCATTCCAGCCTGCCTGCATACGGGATCGGTCACGACGGGCACTACGTGCCACCGCAGTCCCATGGCGTGAATGTCCACGACAACAACACTGTCCTCAACAGCATCTTCGGGACCAGCGCGCCGTCTCTCGACGACATTGGCCACAGCCACGCCGCCTGGGCGACGCCCACGACCACCGGAATCCAGGGCGATGTCACCGGCGATAACTATACCCATCTTCACCATCACCACCACCACCACTTCCAGCCGTCCGACCATCAGAGCTCGGTAGCGCGGGAGTCGCACGCCTCCACCAGTTTCGAGGGGTTCCTACCGCCGGATGATGTGATGGACAAGCTGGTCGGAAGCATGCCCGGTGACCCGGGCCTCAACGGGGGTGGTCATGACCACCCGCATGCCACATATGCAGACAGCAACTCAGTGGAGGCGAATTAAGATGTCTTTCAAAGAGGGGTGGGTGGACTTTTCAAAAGCACAATCTGTAATATTATTCTTCTTCACGGGGCGGGTTCTTGGATGGGATGGTGTTATTCTTTTCCTAATTTTTGGGCTTGTGGTTCTGGATAACCTTTTATTGATACCTAATTGATTCGATTCTTAACAATGCAATCTGTGCAGAAGATGATCTCTAATAATTATCTCTAATAATCACCATGTAGAGTGTACTGTTATGGATGTACTCCGTATGCAGCAGGCCACAGTGGGTCCAGGCCAATTTAGCCGGACCCACCGGCTGCATTTAGCCGTGGGGGCGCAACAACAGCCGCCAGAAGCATATCATTTTAGCCTCTAATGCATCATCATCATCATCATCCGATGCCGTGCCTGGTTAATTGCTTTCATCCCCTCAATTAGACTTTGGCACCCTCTGGAGGGCTGGGCTGGGGCGGGGGGGGGCAATGGAGGGGCAATTGTCCGGTCTTTTAACCATCTCCGTGTCCTTTTCTCTCGTCTTCTCCCTCTGTTCCTTCTTTTCCTCACAATCTCTCCCCCTTTCACACCCCGAAAGACAACCACTGATCCCAACACAATGGCTTCCCCCACCGTCAAGCTCAACAGCGGCCATGAGATGCCCCTCGTGGGCTTCGGTCTGTGGAAGGTGAACAACGACACCTGCGCGGACCAAGTCTACCACGCGATCAAGGAGGGATACCGACTGTTTGACGGGGCCTGCGGTATGTCCTCTCTACTGGAAGGTGTCTTCCAACACTCTACGATCCACAAGCATACTAACCCCCCCGGGGCCGAAAACAGACTACGGCAACGAGACCGAAGCGGGCCAAGGCGTGGCGCGGGCCATCGCCGACGGGCTGGTCAAGCGCGAGGAGCTGTTCATCGTGTCGAAGCTGTGGAACAGCTTCCACGACGCGGAGCGCGTGGAGCCCATCGCGCGCAAGCAGCTGCAGGACTGGGGGCTGGAGTACTTCGACCTGTACATCGTGCACTTCCCGATCGCGCTCAAGTACGTCGACCCGGCCGTGCGGTACCCGCCGGGCTGGGAGTCCGAGAACGGGCGGCTGGAGTTCAGCAACACCCCCATCCACGAGACGTGGAAGGCGATGGAGACGCTGGTCGACGCCGGCCTGGCCCGCAGCATCGGCGTCAGCAACTTCAGCGCCCAGCTGGTCATGGATCTGCTGCGCTACGCCCGCGTCCGCCCCGCCACCCTGCAGATCGAGCACCACCCGTACCTGACCCAGTCCCGGCTGGTCGAGTACGCCCAGAAGGAAGGGCTGGTCGTCACCGCGTACAGCTCGTTCGGGCCCCTGAGCTTTTTGGAGCTGGAGGTCAAGAACGCGCTGAACACGCCGCCGCTGTTCGAGCATGAGCTCATCAAGGAGATCGCCGACAAGCATGGGCGCACGCCGGCCCAGGTCCTGCTGCGGTGGGCGACGCAGCGCGGCATTGCCGTCATCCCGAAGAGTAACAACCCCAAGCGGTTGCAGCAGAACTTGGAGGTCACGGGCTGGGATCTGGAGAGTGCGGAGCTGGAGAAGATTAGTGAGCTGGATCGCGGGTTGCGGTTCAATGATCCTTTGGGAGTGAGGTCCCCCCCTTTTGTGACTTGAGGTTGAGTGATGCTGACCAACTTTTCCAGTACGGGCTCTATGTTCCCATCTTCTAGTTATGTGTTATGATATATGAATGATACTATTTCGACTTTGTTTATAGCCTTGGCCCTTGTGAAGTGTAATGTAGGAGTATGCCTGTTAAGATACTCGTCCAATATTCGACCTACGCAAGACATCGCAAGAAAGGTGCCTCCAAGTGTATGGCGGAAATCTGTCAGATCAATTGCATAGACACCAAGCGTTATAGCCAATACATAGATGAGTGGTATATGTAACAAGAATGACAATTAAATCCATTGCCCTACCCAAAAGACAACTAAGGCTCCAGCATCTCGTACCTACTGTACAGTAGCACACCCACATTACCGCGATAAGATAAGGACCGGCGATAAGCACGCCAAGCAGCGCAGGGCAGAGGGTCTCATCTCATCTCCTCCGCGCAAATCTACCGTGCCATCCCTCCTCAACACCAACTCAACCCAGCCCATCCCATCGCAAACACCACATCCACTCCCAAATCCCAATGCAATAACTCACCCCCTCCTTCCAAAGGCAAAGAAAATGTCTCTCTTCACCAAAACAATCCACATCACCGCGCACCCGCCGCCGCGCACCCTCGCCGACAGCAAACTCATCCTCTCCGCGCTGCAGAAATTCGGCGAAGTCGTCACCTTCCGCAATTTGAGGGTATGTCGGGCTCCAGCCCAGCCCAGCCCCTTCACCTTCTGCCCATAGCCTCAAACGAGATGCCTTCCAGGAAACAAGAAACTAACAACCCGAAAAAAAAGTACGACATAACAAACCCCCCAACCACCACCACCACCACCACCACCACCACCCGCCCGCAATCCCACAGCATAATCGCCATCTACGAATCCGCCGCCGCCGCGACGGCCGCCTGCGCTGCCTCCCCGTTAGCGATCCCTCTTACCCTGGACGCCCACGCCCACGCCCACGCCCAGCACCACAGCCTACAAGCACAGTCCCAGTCCCAGTCCCAGTCCCAAGCACAGTCCCAAACACAGTCTCCAGCCCCGAAACAAAAACAATACTACACCCCGCTCCCCCTCCCGCCGCAGCAACAACCCGCACACGCACCCCCAGACGCAGCAACACACTACCACTCCTCAGCACAAACCCCCCACGCCACACCATCCGGGCCCCCCGACGAAGACCCCACAACCACAACCACAACCATAACATGCACCGTGACCGCCTCGCGCACCAACCACGCCGCGGCCATACGACGGAATCCCTGGTCCGCGGGGTTCGAGATCGAGAGGACGAGTCACCCGCGGATGTATGAGGATCTGGTGCGGGCGGGGATTCCCCTCAAAGAGTTGGCGGATGGGCCGGCGGGGCGGAGAAAGGCGGTGGCGCAGCCGCATGGGCGGCGGCAGAGGGTGGAGGCTGAGACGGTGCGGTGGGGGGCGGCGAGTTTGATGGGGTTGTTTGGGGAGGGGGATGGTAGTAGTAGTAGTCATGGTGGTGGTGGTTTAAGGAGGGGGAATGGGGGGACGGGGAAGGAGGAGTAGCAGATAGGTCGGGCGGGCAGATGGGGTTTCGGGGTGAAACGGCCTTTTGTATATGATTCTTGTATACTACATCTTTGAGACTGAAACAAGAGACGGTGGGGTGGTGGTATATGCATATCGTATATCATAGCCTAATTCTCAGGGTTCAGGGTGAGAGTGAGCCGTGTTTTGGATCAAGAAGATTATTATCTATTCCAGTTGTTCCCAGTTTGCGAGCAGATATCTCGGCCTGGTCGTATACTCATACTCACCCCTCCCCCAACATTCCTGGACCCCTCATGCGACGCGCATATACGCTACATGGGTTAGCGCTTCGTTAGCGCTTGCTAAAAACAAAGGGAAAAGCGAACTTACTAGCGTCCACCTGCATGATGTGCGGGATCGCCAACCGCACCTTGTTGCGATACAGGGCCGGCGCCCGCATCTGCAGCGGGTTCCCCTCGAAGTACACCGTCTTCAGCTGCTCCTTGTCGCGCAGCTCGCGCTCCACCTCGTCGAAGCTGGCCAGCTGGTTGTTCGACGCCCACAGCTCCTCCAGGTTCGTCAGGTGCGCCAGGTGCTCCAGCTTGGAGACCTGGTTGTTGGAGAAGTCCAGCACCCGCAGCGCCCGGTTGTCCTCGAGCCCGCCGAGCTCCGTGATCGCGTTGTGCGAGAGGTAGAGCTCCTCGAGGTTCTGGAGCGCGGACAGCCCGCTGATGCGGGTGAGGCGGTTCGATTGGATGGAGAGGATCCGGAGGTTTTGCAGGGCGTCGAGGTTCTGTTGTGGCAAACATGCCGTCGGATTAGCGTTTCTCGCACTGAGACCCAGAAAAAGAACCACCGTGTCCCCCCTCTGCTGGCTTACCTTCAACTCCGTAATCTTATTCTTTCCCAACCACAGTTCCTCCAATGCTTGTAGCGTCTCCAGATTCTCAATCTCCTGTCCACCTCGTTAGCCCTCCCATCACTCCCCTTCCGCCCCCAGCATCCCCAACGACAAGAGACAACAAAACCCACCCGAATCCGATTCGCCCCCAGCTCCAAATTCCGCAGGACCGTCAACCCCTCCAGCGCCTCGATCTTGGAGATCTTGTTCTGCACAAAGTACAGATCCGTCAGCTTGACCAGGTGCGCGACGTTCTTGATGTGCTTGATCTTGTTGAAGCTCAGGTCCAGACTCGTCAGGTTCTCGAACTCGTCCAGCCCTTTGATGTGCGAGATCAGGTTGTCGTAGAGGTCGAGTTCGGTCAGCGACTTGGCGACGGGGGTCGGGAAGTCGATGCGCGAGATCTGGTTCTGCCGGAGGCATATTCTCTGTTGTTGATGTTGTGGTCCGGGTTAGCGCCATGCCCCTTCCTCCAGGAATCTCTTTGGCCACCGCGCGAGAGACTTCGAGAAAAAGAAGAGGAGCATACCTTGACCTTCTCAAACCGCTCCAGCTTCAACGCCGGCAGCGAACTTATCCGACAATGTACCAAATCGATCTCCTACTCCCACCACACGACAGTTTTGCAACCAGTTAGCATCGCCACAAGGAAAAAAAAAGACAACAAAGACCCGCGCGCGGCTGCAGCGCAGCACCAACCACCAACCACCAACGCGTCGTCGCATCGCATCGCCCGCGACAGAAAAAGAACCGGACCGCCTTACCTCGGTATCCACATCCTCATCTTCCAATAAATCTGCCAAACCAATATTCACGGATCAGCTCGACTATAACCCCAAAGCGCGAGTCTGAAAGGGTCGACTAGAGTGGGTGGGTGTGCGCGGAAAAGGTGAGATAGGCGAGAGAGCGCACCTTCATCAGCCTGGATCTCCTCCACGGGCGGCGCATCCGAGTCGGAGTAATCGGGGTCTTCGAGAGCTTCGGGGTTGGTGATGATGGCTTCTTTGGGGGGCTGCTGCTGCTCGTCGGCGGCGGCGGCGGCGCCGACGCGGAGTTTCCCGTCCCAGCCGTGGCGGTCTTTCATTGTTGTGTTTGGAGAGGTATGGATGTGTGTTGTGTGTCTGGGAAAGGCGAGCGCGTAAATGATCCTCGTTTCTTTTTCTAGAAAAGTGGTGTGAGTCTGTGCTGGAACTCCGGAGGGCAGATGTGGGGAGGGGGGGGGGAAAGGTTCAATGTTGACCGACGGAGGAATGACGATGCCGAGCGGGGTTTTCTTTTGGAGGGAGTTGAGGAAGGGAACTAGATTATGGTAGGAGTTGGGGTGGAATACCTCTCTTTTTGGTTTCTTCTCTTGCTTTAGCGCCCCTTAAAAACCGAAATCCTTACTCGCAAAACAAAAAAAAAAAATGAGTCGAATGAAGTTCAGAAGGCAAAAAGTGCCGGATGATAAGTAAAAACAGTTGACGCGGTCAGGCTGATTAAGTTGACTCCGTCGGATCCCGCGTACTATGTCAAGTTGACCTATTGTACCTCTTTCAACTACCCTACCCAACACTACACACCGATCCAGCCACCGACTAGTTATTTACTCTGGATTCCGCTTGTTGCATGACTCGTGGCCTTTATTGGTCTCTCAAATTTTCAAACACAGGACGCGATGGAGTGACGACGCTTCTATGTACAGGACGTAGGCCAATGGTACATACACTGCAAGATCACCGATGTTGTCAATCCTGGGTCGATGAGATACTGTGCGTTTGCCAGAGCATGGACGTGTGGGGGGAAGACAGGTATCAAGATGTCATCCACTATCGAGGTCTCCAAAAAGCGAGGCAGATCGTAGTAGACAAATAACAAAACGCATGGCGGGGTTTTGGGATCACATCTTCGAATACAAGGGCAAAAGGAAAAAATAACCAGAGCGGTAAGTCGAGCCTCGGAGGGCTGCTCGTGTGCAGATGACAAGACAGGCGCAAGGAAATAAGGAAGACATATGAGAGAGTGTAAGAATAGGTAAATCGGGGAGCGTATACACGAGATCAGCAGAATTTTGGCTGATGACCAAGACGGACGCCTGCAGAATGCAACGACACACACACACACAGTTTTAAGTAGTAAGGAAAAAATGGCAAGGGGGTAATCAGGTATCTACTCACTTGGAGTGTAAAAAACAAGAGATGAAAAGGAAAGCAAAGTAAAGAAGAGCAAAGAGATCGGTGCGCGGGGGTGGGAGCGCACTGCAAAACAGAACAGGAAACATGGGGAGTCAAGGAAACATACATCTCCACTCTGGAACACCGTGAGTCCCGGCTTGCCTGGAGAAGCTTGCTTCCAACCACGACAATAAAGATGTGTTGTGGCCAGTCAAAGCCACTGGGTCAGGGTCAACCGTGTTGCGGACAAACGTGGTGGCGTCCAAGAAAGCAAAATGTCCATGCTGTGATGCAGATGCTAGACGAGCTAGATATACAGGCATTACAATGCAATGTCAAGAACAAGACTGACGTCTTTCACTTGTGCCCCGGCAAGGTCTTCGAGGACGGGAATTAGATCTAGGAGCTCGTTATCGTGGGCGTCAGAGAACCAGCTGCTGATGGGTATCGCATGTTGAGGGTGGAATATATAGGATGTCGGGGAGTTGTCGATAATGATGGTGTCTCGTAGGTCGCGACCAACTTGTGACAGGTCCTACCACAAGGTTAGTGTGAAATCGGAGCTCGTATTAGGAAGAATGCAAACCTTCACATAGTTGCCTTGGTGGTTGTAGCAGCTGTCCCTGAACAGGCGGTGGTGCACAACGTTGTGGATGTCCAACTGATCCAGCAGGGGATCGCCATACTGCAATTCAATTAGTGACTATGCTGACAGAAGAGGCGAGAACAACCCACTTTGGAGACGGAGGCGGTAAAAACGACGACCTCATACAACTCCCCGACCCTTTTCATGAATTGGTCGACGCCAGGTCGTTTGATGACGTAAATGTTGTGGTACTGGCCCTCGATTTCAACAGGTATGGTGAAGTCTGCCCGTTCGAGAACCTGAAATTGCCATTCAGTATTTTGACTGGCTTGGGAACAAGAGGGAAAAAAGTACCTTGAAGCTACTGTGAACTAGCGTTTCATCCAGATCTAGAACCAAACACTTTCTGTCACGCAGGTGAGGTAAAGGCGGAGGCAAAAGGAATTGACCATGCTCATCAGGATCCACCGTCTCGATGTGTTTCTCGCTCGGAGGCATCGGCGGGGGCGGTAACTCGGGGGCTAGCGTTGAGGCCTCTTCATCGTGGGAGGCGTACTTGAGGTCGTTTGTTGTGTCGTTCTCCGCGGGGAATTGGTGTAGCTCATCGTCCGCCGGAGGAAGTTCCTGGGTCTGGGCCTGCTCCGTCTGCAATCGTGACTTCTCCTTGTCCTGTGGCACGGCATCGTCCTCGGTCTTCTCGACCCCATTCGGGAATACGGCGCCCCCTTCAACAGTCGCAACGACGATGTTCGGACCCTGAGTTTCGGAATCGTCCTTGGTCGGAGTGTGCCCCTGATCCTCTGCAGCTTGACCGGACGGCGCGGCCAAGCCATCGAGCTTCAAGCCCTGATCTAAGGGTTTACCAGTGCGTTCCTCACCTTTTTGCGATCCGGACTGATCCGCAGTGACAGTCATGTTGGATTTCTCGTCGCGATAGTAGCATGGTTCCTTAGATTCCGCCGTGCTCGAGTCTCCAGCATTAGCCTCTGTCTTCTCGGGAGTTGGCTGCGTGTTGGGAACTGATAGCCGTCGCGATGTTCTCTTTGCGGGAATAGCTGTGTCCTCCGGGTCGACGTTGGATGAAGAACAACAACTGAGAAACGCGAATAGCCTGTAGGTGACCTTGCTTTTCCTTTCCGGTTTGGGAGTGTCACGCGGATCGCCGGTCGCTGTTTTGTCCTCCTCTATACTTCCCCCTTCCTGATTTTGTCGACGTGATCGCATACTGCTGCCTCTGCTCCGGTCGCGTCGCCCTTTCAGGATGCTTCTTTTCGATCCGCGGAGAGTGTTCTCGGAGTCATCGTTGACAGTATCCTGGCTCTTGTCCAGAGTCGACTGCCGGTCGGCCTTCAGGGATGCACGCGACGAGATCGGGAGTAGTAGATGATGCTTTTTCGGAGGATCAGTGGAGGTAGCCGCAGCAACGCCTGGAGTCGCGACAGACGGTTGAGCCGGGTCGATAGCTTCTGGACCGGTGGACGGGGCTGATGCACTTGGATTGGCGGATTGTTCCTGAGGCGCTGCCTCAGGATCTAAAGAAGTAAAGTCTTAGCGATGACATTCATCGAAAGCGCCCGGTCGCGTTAACGAGTAAGGGGCGGAAAGCTTACTTGGCTCAGGGTGACCTGCTGCGACAGACATGGACGCTTGTACTCTGGCCGCGGTGGAGTTGGATGGTAAAGAATCTCGCTCCGAGCTCCCTCCGAGCATTGAGGGTAGCAGAGCGAGGTTCACGGGGATGAAAGGCGATTAAGAAAAAAAAATTAAAAGGAGGTGGGTGTGGCAAGAGGACGAAACGTCGGAACAAGGACCACCAGGGTATCCGCCGAGGAGAGGGGGGGGGGAGGGAATGGGGAGGGGAGAGGAAAGGGACCGGACCGGGGCTCGTTGAAGGTGAAGGTGCAGCAGCAGGCACGCCTCCTGGATCTGGCGGAGGAGGGATGGAGAAGAAGAAGAGATGGAATGGAGGATGGAAGTAAAGCAAGTCAATACCAGCAATAGCAGGCAGTCCTCAGGTAGGTCAAGGTTGCTTGGACTAGCTCTGGGTCGCGGACCACCGCCTCGAATGAGGCTAGTGCACAGCACTAAGACTTGTCGCAGTTGGGGGAATTTGGGGGGGAAGGGGAGCAATCCAATCACTGCTTAGACCTTTCTCCAAAAATCCTGGAAACCGGACTGTAGGCAAGTATAAATTATGATCATATGCGACTGGCACGATCTCGCCGTCTGGGGGAACGTTCGCAGGGACAGGCTGACAGGCAGGCAGGCAGGCAGGCAGGCAGGCAGGCAGACAGGCAAGTAGGCAGAGGCAGGGTCGGGCGTGGGAGTGCAGAGAGGAGATCACGTGGCAATGCCAGGATGCAGCTCCTCGAACTCTCAATAATAAATTACTAAGAATAAAAATTAAAAAGTTGAGAGGGAGGGAGGGAGAAAGGGAAATGACCGGGTACTGGAGGTGGAACGGGCCCTTCCTTTAGGGTACAACGACGGGAATGTTGCACTGGGGCTGACGGATGGGGAGGGGAGGAGTGAAGTTTAATAATGATAATGATAAAGGAAAGGTGAAGGTTGCTGAGCCCTGGTCTTGTCCTCCGATCGGCGGTCGACGATCAGGTCTTCTTGTCTCTAGGTCCTTATGGCCCGTTCGATGGCCCGTTCAAGCGCTTAGATGAAGGAATAGGAATAGCTTGGAGCTGGTCAGATAGCAGCGAACAGCAGGGAAAGCAGCCGGCAGAAGGATAGAATGAAGAGACGAGAATGCGTTCTTACGAAATGCGAGGGGAGGAACGAAAGGAGGGGAAGGAAACGGTAATGTAATCCTAGGTTGCACAAAGGTAAAGGAGCACCACTGCTTGGGGGTGTATTAAACAAGCCTGGTGTCCTGAGCTCGGCTCCTGGACTTACTTGACTAACCGATTTGAGGAGATTAGAAAAAAAAGGGAAAAAGGAAAAAGGGGACCAGATGAACAAGAAAACCACAGGGAGGGAAGATGGAGGGGAGGAGAGGGGGAGGGAGAATACAGAACAGACAGACAGTCCTGACGGAAGAGGAGGAACTGAGAGAGTGAGGAGCGGGGGAAAGCAATAATAAGAAATAACAATAATAACAACAATCTTGACCATAACAATAAGATAATGATTACGCCAGTTGACTCCGATCAAATACTATGTAAGTTATCAGCCCAAGACAAATTGCCTATGCACAGTACATTTTCTTTCGCTTGGACATGATTGAATGGACGTGCATTCCAAAGTGCTAAAGTGCTCTGTATGTCTTTTTTCCTACTGTGGTCACAGAAGCTGGCAGTTGGTCTGCGGAGCACCTCCGTACAGCTTGTTAAGAAGGCGAAAAGGAGGAGGACAGAGACCCGAGGGTGAAAATGGTCTGGACCGGAGAGGAAAAAGGAAAAAGGTGCAGGGCTGCAACTCAGTTCGGGCGGAAGTGGGAGGTGCCATCGCAATTTCATTGCTCGTTCAAATCGATGCTAGGCTAAACATGACATCTGCTTTGGTTTAGTCTGGGCGAGCAGCAGCCTTCTAGTTCCCTACATTACTAGTACATTATCCACCCTCCTCCCCATGCTTTCATCCTCTACTCTAGCTTGAACCAATCACCCGCATTTATCCCTGAGTTCAAGCGCACAGGGACCCATTGGAAAGGCAGGTGTTTCCACCGCAGATGACCAGAGTGGGCATAATCCAGGGGTATCAGCGTCAATGATCTCATTGAGGTCGGTGATACTCAATACAGGCACCGGCACCTGCTTCCATAATGTCTTTTTGCTCTACCTATCCTCCTCAACAATCGATCTCTTCTTCAATCAGCCGAACCTGGACTAATTCATGCAGATGAACCTTGCTTCCCATTTGTACTTCACTTCCATATAAATAAACAGCTAATATTACTACCACGAGCGATCAGACTGACTAGTCAGTAGCACAGAATCTTGATTCAATGTCAATTCTTGAGATCCGGCACCGGACGGATTCCGCCAGATACCGGCCGACGGCGATAGCCCATGTGCCTTACAGCTCCACCCTCTTGCTCGCTCGTATTCCGATCGCAGGCTCATCTGTGGCAGGCTGGCAATATTCAGACTCCACCAATTTCTGGTTCTACAGGGCCAACCTGATTGATCTAATCCTCCGCCATTGGCATTCGCATGCGATCGGCTCGCGACCATCTTCAATGATGATATTCATCCATGCGTCCAAGACCACTAGTAGACCTTGGCCCACAATAGCTAGCCGCCATCTCTACCTTATCACAAATTCACAGTGCGTTCGGGGCGGAGCAAGCCTGTATTCCCGACTGAGCCTGCGAATCAGAAGTCACACAACCAGCTGAGCCCAGGCCTCAGGTCCGTGCATCCCCTCCCAAGAGGGATTTCGTGGATTCGCGGGCAGGTGGCTCATTTCCCTATCATGCAGCAAAGATCGATATTATCCGCTGTAGACCTGATCAAAGGCACACGTACCGCGACTGCCTGCATGCGTACAGTTCAATGTAGCCGAAGTGTGTCTACTCCGTATTACGCTTCGCCCTCTTCGCCCCCGGTCATCGCCCGCATGGAATCGAGATTATCGCCATAGACGCTCCTGTATCCGGTCGCTACTCGGTACAGGTGGGCTAATCCAGCTATCTCAAGGGTGTGGCATGCACGCTTGCACAACGTGTAACAAATCATTCCAGTGAGGTTGAATGCGGAGCTGGCAATGAACTCTTAAGCGCCCATCAATGCTCGACGGCTTTCCGATAGTGATCACACACACGCGATGTCATCAGAAAAAGAGGTTTAAAGCCACCAGAGGCAGGTCCGTCGAGGGCCATCTCGACCCCCCTTGATTCAAAGGAGTATGATACGTACACGCCTGAAGGTAGATGTATGTATGTATGGATGGATGGATCTTGCAACATCCGCATTAGCCTTAAGCTTCCGGGTAATTGGCGCACCTCGTGCTTCTGGGGGGACGCCGAACACTTCGAAGTTCGAACTCACGGCAACTTGCCCGTTATCAAAGCTTAACCCAGTTTACGCGTATGTACTGTAGTCACTCAGACTACAAAGGTCCTTTGAACCGCATTCTTACTGAGTGCTTCCCGCCCACGATATCTCCGCCATCAAGGCCGAGGGCGCCATATAGTTTAGTCGTAACCCCGCAAAAGTGGCCCATCGGAATTGGGCATCCCATGTCTCAAAACCTTGAAAACAGCCTTGATGCCCAGAATCGAACGCTCGTATCGTTACGCAAGATGGGGATCGCTACGAATTGTGCCTCTAGCAGGACAACCCCGGCTTAGCTGCAGTGACCTTGGTCCCCTTTGGGATAGCGGGCGCTTACGCGGGCGCCGGGCGCCCGGGTGTACTGTACATAGAGGTGCACCACCACCGTATTGGACTGCGATGAGTCTCCATACAGCCTTGAGATCGCGGGAACTGGGGTTCTCTTTATGACTGGTCAGTAGGGATAAAATCGAGGGATCAATCCTTGATACACATCTATCAACAAGAATCCATATGCATTACTGGTTGGCTACATAGACTCTTATTTCAACGGAAGGCTGTTCAGCTACCCGGCCGTAATTGCAAAGAATAGAAAGACTGCAACACAGGTGGACCACACAGTGCCATCGTATCTACTTAGTACCTGCTTGACGGAAACAAAGGCAGTCAGTCGGGTGAGCATCCAGCAATGATGAATAACTAATCTGGTCTTACTGAGTATTTATCATCAAATGATCATTCCTGATTTCCGGATAGAGTCACATACCTACTGAGTACTGTATGTGTAGCAGCGACCGACGTCAGAGTCTGGACACTCCGCACGTGAGTCTCCGCCTCTCCGCAGGGTTGGTTGGCCCGAGGTCTTCACATGCGCGCAACTCCGCCATTAGCTTCATCGAGTACCAAGAATGTGACCTGTTGCCTGAGTTGTCTCTGACTCCTTCTTCCACTTCCACATCACAGCTCCTTCGCATCTTCACCAGCTTACCCCACGTTGCAACATAGCACTTCCTATCGGCCCTCATGGCCCTCAGTGTCCGAACCTGAGGGCGACAACTGCTGCACCGGCAGCCTGCGATCGTGGCAAGCATACACCACCTCCCGAGGTCCCGCGGCTTGTCAATGAGACGGAGAAATGGCCGCTCAATCGACGCTCCAGCATCGAGAGGATCCTCTCGTGGTATTGTACCACTACTATGTCAACCTCACTCGTGCCCGGATAAAGCGCTCTTCGAAAGCGGCCAAAACCGTCGCCACTATCGCTTTAATCCTCTCGATCTTGGGAACTGGATACGGAGGCTATAAATGGTTTCGCGAGAGGTCGCAGGAACATGCACAGGGCAGGCGATTACTACGCCGGAACTCTGGGATCAGAGGGAAGGATGGAACCCGGACCATATACGTACCCTACAAGGGATCCATGACCTCGAAGGTCAAGATCTACCCAACCAAACCCACGACGTTTGATGCGCACCGGCGACTGTTCCTAAACCCTCCTGCTGCCGCCCGCGTCGGGGACGGCGCGTCCAGTAGCCAGACCCCACCGCCGATGACGAAGCCAGGCCTGAACCTCGCTTTCCTGCATCAGTTCCTCAGCCTGGGGAGCATCATGGTGCCCCGATGGAGCAGTAAGGAGACGGGTCTTCTGATGGGTCATGGCGTTTTTCTGCTCCTACGGACGTATCTCTCTCTCTTGATTGCACGCCTTGATGGTGAGATCGTGCGAGACCTGGTCGCCGGTAAGGGCCGGGCCTTTGCCTGGGGCATCGTGAAGTGGTGTGGCATTGGAACACTTGCATCATACACCAACGCTATGATCAAGTTCCTCCAGTCAAAAGTGTCTATCGCGTTCCGGACCCGCTTGACGCGGTACATCCATGATCTCTACCTTACCAACGACAATAACTACTACAAACTGATGAACCTGGACGGCAGCATCGGCCAAGGGGCGGACCAGTTCATCACGCAAGACCTCACCCAGTTCTGCACTGCAGCGGCATCGCTTTATTCCTCGATGGGCAAGCCGTTGGTAGACTTGTTCGTCTTTAATTACCAGCTGTATCGCTCCTTGGGGCCGTTGGCTCTGACTGGAATCCTCACTGGGTATTTCAGTACGGCGGCAGTCCTTCGGAGACTCTCGCCTCCTTTCGGCAAATTGAAAGCGGTCGAAGGGAAGAAAGAGGGTGACTTCCGTAGCTTGCATTCCCGACTCCTCGCGAACGCGGAGGAGATCTCGTTCTATGGGGGCGCAGACATCGAACGCGTGTTTCTGGCAAGAAGCTTCAAAGACCTCCAGCGGTGGATGGAGGGGATTTACAGTCTGAAGATCCGGTACAACATGCTCGAAGACGTCATTCTGAAATATGCTTGGTCTGCATTCGGTTATCTCGTTACGTCCCTACCGATCTTCCTACCTGCGTGGGGCGGATCGGGTGGCGCCCTGGAGTTGCTCGATTTACCGGAAGGCACCGGTCGTGAGCGCGACCGCATGAGAGAATTTATCACGAACAAACGCTTGATGCTGTCATTAGCGGACGCGGGCGGCCGTATGATGTATAGCATCAAGGACATTTCGGAACTGGCCGGGTACACATCCAGAGTCTACAGCCTCATCTCCACCCTCCACAGGGTTCACGCAAATGCATACTACCCTCCGCGGGACTCTGGTGCGGAACTATACTCCTTGGCCGACGTTCAGGGAACCGTCCACAATGGTTTCGATGGCGTGCGCCTCGAGCAGGTTCCCATCGTTGCCCCATCCCTCTATCCCCGCGGCGGTGATGAACTTCTGGAGTCGCTGTCGTTTGTCGTGCACTCTGGAGACCATCTCCTGATCTCTGGACCCAATGGCGTCGGCAAGTCCGCCATTGCGCGGGTTGCTGCCGGGGTGTGGCCGGTGTATCGTGGCTTGGTCAGTCGGCCACGGGGTTTCGGGCTCGATGGCATCATGTTCCTGCCTCAGCGGCCGTATCTTAGCGTTGGAACCCTGCGGGATCAAGTCATCTACCCCCACTCGGAGATCGACATGCGCGAGGCGGGAGTATCGGACGCTATGCTGCAGAAGGTTCTGGATGATGCCCACTTGGGCTACCTTCCTTCGCGGGAGGGCGGCTGGGACTCGCGGAAAGAGTGGAAGGATGTATTGAGCGGTGGAGAGAAACAGCGCATGGCCATGGCTCGCATCTACTACCACGAGCCGCGGTACGCGTTCCTTGACGAGGGGA